GGCCCGAAGTGTCAGTCAGGAGACTGGGGTGAGGATGGTCAATCTGATTAATAGATGGTAGAAATTAATAATTGTGAAAAGTGAAAGAATGGAGACTCAAAGATGGATTAGTTCTGCTAAGGGGTCTGCTGATTGAGGTGAAGTATATTGACAAGCAGCCTTAGAGAAGAAAGAAAGAATTTAATTCATAAGTCTCTGATTCCTAGGTGGCTACCAGTAGTGAAGATTTGTGGCCTAGAAAGAAAGAGGTCTGGGATGGGATCCTGAGGGGAACTTGTTAGCCTTTGGAGATGGGGCAAATGAATGGTACTGAGAAGGTACAGTTTGAGTAAGTGGGAAGCCAAGAATTTGGTGTGAAGAAGTCTGGGGGGCATTGGTCAGCAGTGTCTGCTGATTGAGAAGTCATGGATGACTTTGGTAGAACTGGATTCAGAGGAGTATTTGAGGTAATCCTGATAGTGGTGGGCAGAGAAAGGAGTTACTAAAAAGAGTGGAGCAACTGTCCCCCCTTTCTTCATAGGGTTGCGAATTGAACCCACAGCCGTATTGCACCTATAGGCAAACCTAAGTTCTTTTGTCTCCCAGTGATGTTTCGTAATAAATGCTTGCTTGAATGGGTCTCAATGAAATCATAACTCGCACATGAAATCGCAAAGCCAGAAGTATCCTTTTCAGGGGAGAGGGAATATGTGCTTCAGGAGGTTATTTTACTTTCCTCTCTGAAATTTTTTCTTGTTATAGCTTTCCTGTATAAACAGTTGCTAGGAAAACTAAATTGTGTCTTGCTGTTTATTAGCAAGTTATTTGAAGTAGGCTTGACTTGGTGGCTTTTCTAATGTTCTGAACTTGTTTTTAATTCAGCTTTCAGCAGGGAAACCATCTATCAGCAACCCAGGAATGGGTGAACCAGGAACCTTCAGTGGGAATAACTTTATGCCAGCAAATGGCCTCACTGTGATCCAAAACCAGGTAAGATGCCTATTTCCCCTGTGAAGCATAGGCAGGCCTATGTTTTGTTACTTCTTAAATGATCTAAATTATCTTGGTGCCTGCTTCACACCAATACCCCCCCCCCCCTTTTAGTGTGTGTCTGTGTTTGTGTCCGTCCATCCTTTCTTGTCCGTGTGTCCACATGGCCTGATACCAGTGGAGGCTAGAGAGGCTATAAACCCAGGTTCTCTGCAAGTGCTCCTCCTGAGCCCTCTCTCCAGCCCTTCTTTTTGCTTATGTAAGGACTCAGGTTTACTTAAGTAAACTGATTCAGAGTAGTTGCTGAAGTCTTTATTTGAACTGTCAGGTGCTGAATTTGATCAAGGCTTGCCCAAGACCAGAAGGATTGAACTTTCAGGATCTCAGGAACCAGCTCCAACACATGCCTGTACCCTCAATCAAGTAAGTGTTGCTGTCCATGACCTAGAGGTCCAGAATTGTACCGGTCTATTTGCTGATAATGAGAAGTGAGTGTAAAAGGTAAAGCTGGAGCTGGGGTTGGTGGTCCTCACCTGTGGTCTCAGCACTTGAAAGGTAGAGAATCAGGAGTTCAAAGCCAACCTGGACTGCATGAGACCTGCACCAAAGGAAGAAAGGAAAGCTGTCACCTGCAGCCTGTTGAGGGAAATTGACCAGCTATGACCAACTTTCAAAAGGACTTGCAGGTGGCACTGCTGCACCACTTGCTGATTTATTCTGGATCTGAAGGCATTGGGCAGTCCTGCTTTGATCTCATTTCTGTTTTAGGCAGCAGGCTCCTGGTTCCATTGCAGTGAGCTGAGATGGACTATATATAAGTAGATGGTGCTCATGGTTCTTGAGTTCGAGGCCAGCCTGGTCTATATAGCAAGTTCCAGGACAGCCATGACTATATAAAGAGACCCTGTCTCAAAACAAAACAAAAGCCCATTTAATAATTGTAGGCCTAGCCGGTGCATGCCTTTAATCTCAGCACTTGGGCGGCATGGGAAGGTGGATCTCTGTGAGTTTGAGGCCAGCCTGGTCTACAGAGCAAGTGCCAGGACAGCCAGGACTGTTTGTTACACAGAGAAATCCTGTCTTGGGGAAAAAATTGTAGGTCTAGATGGAAAGGAAATGTCCAAATCAGTTTCCTATTCCTGTGCTGTAAAGTGGTGATAGATAATGCCCATCTCGGAGTCACTGGTGATGAGGTAAGAATCACTGGGTAAATTCTCCCTGTCACTAAACATGTCACTGAGGACCTGAGGATCTGGAGGAGTCACTCTTTCTGAATGACCTTTCCCTTCCTGTTTCTCTGCTGCCCACAGGCAGGGCAAAAAGCATTTCAGTGTGATTCTGGGGCCTGAATCCAGGGAAGGCAGACTTAGACCCCTGGGTACAGTAGGGATTTCATGTTCAAGCTGACTATGACTTCGGGTCCTTGTGTCAGCCACATTGGCATTTTAAGTGGGGCCCTATTCCTTTTGAAATTTGAGGCCGAGATCTTGAGGCAGCCCTGGTAGCCCTTGTCTGCATGGATAATCTCAATCCTGAGGTTTAATTGGCTTTTCTCTGCAAGAGGTTTCTATGAACAAAATCACTGAGTAATTCTTAGTTTGGATAGGAAGTGAAAAACAAGTGATGGTTGCTTATTTAGCTATATTCAAAAGGCACTGGTTTTAATATGGGACCCCCCACCCTTTTTTTTTCCTTCTAGGCAAGCAGTGGATTTTCTGTGCAACGAGGGGCACATTTATTCTACTGTGGATGATGATCACTTTAAATCTACAGATGCAGAGTAACTAGAGCTCATTAGGTACCTGAACTATTTCCTGTTTTTCCGTCATCTGTTGTCTCCAGCTCTGTAGGTTTTGGCCAGTGGCTTCTAGGACAGAAGTTTCATTGAGGAGGTCTCATCTTATGTCCTCTTGAAACTCACTGCTGTTCTGTTTTGTCGTGTGTTGTTTAGAGGTTCAAAAGGAGACAGACAGTTGAGAAGGAAGTAAACCAGGGTGGGATTCCTTAACAGAAATTCCAGATAAGCTAGTCAGGACTCCAGGCTGGATGGACGGAATTGAAAGAGGAACACAACCCAGAGAGCAGGGCAGAACTGTGTCATGCTTGAGAGCTTGTGTTCCTGAAAGGCTTCCTGTTGAGGTGATGAATAATAACAGGGCCACGGGCCACAAAAAGAACCCATACCTTCTGCCTGTTTTTGTTTCCCACTCCGGTCTGTGGTGTTACTTTCAAAATTGCACTTTCCTTCCCCTTGTCTTGTCCACGGCTGAAAGTGGTTTAAGTGAGCATGAGGTTCTGGTGTGGGGCCTCACAGGGCAGAGGGGAAGAAATGTTACTGCATTGTTTGTAAGATAAATGTCCATATGTGTAATAAAACAGTTTGGTGTGATAGCTTTTGAGATGGTACTGGTTTTTCCCATTTACTTACTGTGTGGAAGTCAGAGCACAACTTACGGGGTATATTTTCCCTCTCTCTGCGTACAGAGTCCCCCATCTTCCGCTGTGCATTGCAGGGATCCAACTCAGATCATCAGGCTTATTTCCTCAGGGGTTGTTGTCGATGTGCAGCGCATGTGGCATTGCCATGAAGGATTATGAATAGACCTTGGGCTAGGGTTATTCAGCCCCTGGCAGTACTGACGAATGGGGCCTTTAGTGTTGGTGCTTGACAGTATGTGATCATGTAACTGAGGTGGCTGTCTGCTGAGAGACTTCACAGAGGCTATTCTTGTGGTAGAGGAAATGAGTTCACAGAAGTCAAAGGTAAATGATGTCTTGGATGAAAACTAACTTGGGGATGGAGTTCATAATGTGGAACCTGCAAATAACTGCTCACTTCTAAATGAGCTCTCACCCTGATTGCTGATGGTGAACATCTGGTGGTTTGCTAGACGGAGTAGTTTGAGCCACACCATAGGTAAGGGTCAGCTAACCAGTTATGTTATTAGTTATGGATCCATTCTTAGACAAAGGGAATTGCTGAGAACAAGAAAAAACAAAACATAACTGGGTGTGGTGGCACACACATTTAATCCCAGCATTTGGGAGACAGAGACAGGAGGATCTCTGTGAGTTCAAGGCCAGCCTGTTCTACAAAGTGAATTCCAAGATAGGCTCCAAAGCTACACAGAGAAACCCTGTCTCGAAAAACAAAAAACATGTTCCAGTCTGGGATGTATGATAGGGTACTTTCACAGATTTTCAATTTCCTCTAGTTACCAGGTCAATAAAGCTTTGGTAGTCTAGGTGGGTCTTTCCATGGAATTCAAATGATAACTTAGCAATTAAGTGGCTTGTTTCAGGAGACAGGTGGATCTCTTGAGTTCTGAGCCAACCTGATCTATGTACCAGGTTCTAGGCAGCCAGGACTACATAGTGAAATCTTGTCTCACAAAAAGGGGCTGGGGGTAGGGAGACCTAGCAGGTTATGAGCACCTGCTATTTTTCCAAGGGGGTCTGAGTTCATTTCTAAGCACGCATGTCAGGCAGCTCACAACTATAAGTAATTCCGGTTCTGGGGATCTAATGCCTCCTGGCATTTGCTTGCACACACACACAAGTTGTTCAGTGTCTTTATTACATCCCAAACTGTTAGTTAGGTACTAGCAATAGGAGATAAGCACCAGGAGGTTTGCAGTGGACTGGTGTGACTCCTGGTCACCTGATGGATCTCAGTGATCACATGATTGCTGAGCACTGGTAGTTGGAAACAGAGCATAGGCAGGAGAGTGGTATGAAATTCCAGCCCCTAGAACTGCTGTACTGCACAGGTAGAAGAGCTTGTGTTTGGGAGTCCAATATGAGGTGTCCAATATGAGGTGTTCAGTACATTGGAACACCAATATGATCCATGCTCTTAGAAATTACCAGTGTCAGGGCTGGAGAGATAGCTCAGAGGTTAAGAGCACTGGCTGAGTTCAATTCCCAGCAACCACATGGTAGCTCACAGCCATCTATAATGAGATCTGGCGTACAGGCATACATGTAGGCAGAACACTGTAGACATAATAAATATATAAATCTTAAAAAAAAAAAAAAAAAAGGACAAACTACCAGTGTCACCTCTCGTGTGTTCAACCTTCTCTCGGGGAAATTTTTAGGACTGCAGTGGGAAATGGGGTATCATGAAAAATAACATTTACTAAGCTTACTTAGAGAAAGGCCAGAGTAAGTATTAGTATTTAGTGTGGATTAATGGTTATATTTTGTTTTAGTACAGTTGATTTCACAAGCCTAAAAGAAAAAAGATAATGTAGCTGGGAGAAACTTCATATTGATAAAATGTTTGGACATGTACCCTATTTTGTTTAACAGCTTTTACATAAGTTTACCCTATTAATATACCTATCATTATAAAGCATTCAGAAGTAGAAATGAGCCAGGTGTAGTGACCAACACCTTTAATCCCAGCCCTCGGGGGGCAGAGGCAAGCGGATCTCTTGAATTTGGAGCCAACCTGGTCTAACATAGCTATTTCCAAGTCAACCAAGGCTACACAGTGAGACCCTGTCTCAAAACAAAAAGTGCTGATACTTATTTTCTGTTCCCAAGGGAACTCACTGGTGTATAGTCATCACTTGGAAGGCCATTGCTCAAGGGGCATCCCCAGCCCCATTGTAATATCCTTCCCACTTGTCCAGCTTGTTGAGGGAAAGAAAACAAGTCCTATGATGGTTCCCCGAGCAACTGCCATTACTCTGAAAAATCAGCTTGTGTTGAGGCGCAGTCCGACACTGGCTGAGGACATCTAACCATAGAGGCATGTACGGCTAGAGGTTGACACCAGGCATCTCCTTCAACCATGTATTTCTGAGACCTTAGAACTTGATGTTTCAGCAAGAGCAGCTGCCCAGTGAGCCCCTGGGATCTGCCTGTCTCTGGCTCCCACCTCCCAATGTTAGGGTTACAAATATATGCCACTAGGCCTAGCTTCCATGTAGGTACTATGGATCCAAACTTAGGCCGTCATCCTCAATATAGCAAACACCTTACCCACTAGGCCACCTCCCCAGTCCCTGTAATTCCTTTAAGCATAGTTTCCAAGCTAAGAAATTGCTGCCTTTCTCTACACTGAAGCATCTGATTACTCAGAAATCTTTTTACTTTTTATGTGTATAAGTATTTTGCCTCCATGTATATGCGCCATGTTCATGTAGAGCCCGCATAAGCCAGAAGAGAGGGTCAGAATCCCAGGAACTGGATGACAGTTGTGAGCAGTGGAGTGGGTGCAGGGAACTAAACCTGGGCCCTCTATAAGAACACCCAGTCCTCTTAACCACTGAGCTGTCTCTCCAAGCCCTGGAAATCCTATTTCCTAAGAACTGGTAGCCCTCTTTTCTGCCTTCCTTTTGTGCCAAGATTGAACTTGTATGTGGAAGTGAAAACTAGAGGCACCTTGTATGTTGATCCACCCTCTGGTAGTTCAGAGCCAGGAAGGAACTTTCTGTCAAGATCTTACTGCTTCTCTCCACTGTCTGTCCCTGGATTTTCCACTACAAGGAACATTGGCTTCTAGGGGAGAGGCAGGTAGAAATTGGTAGATGAGAAACCCATAGTTGGGACTGGCCAGCAGTCTGTAGGAATCACCTGGAGAACTCATTCAAGGGTGTAAAGGTCAGAGGACCTGCAAGGACAGGTCCAGGCAGCCCAGAGAGGAGCAGACTCAGGAGCACACACAAGTAGTGCCTGGGATCCAATCAGAAATTGGACCCAGTCTCACATCAGCTGTAAATTCAGCATCTGTTTATCTGCTGTCTTCTCTGGTGGCCTGGGGCTAAATTCTGTGACTTCACCAGCTTTCAGTTCCCACATGTCCCTGGATATGACAGATGGCCTCACCCAACATGCCTAAACCAACCTTGGAAGTTACATGGACAAAGGTTTGTATTTGTCCTTTTATCTCTACCTCTGGACATGATGAGACTGCAGCATGGAAACCAGGATGGCAGACACAGCTGTGTGGCACTGTGCTAGTCTGGCTTGGTTACCAGCAATACAGTGAGTGCCAAGTACAGGTACCAAATGCCTTGCAAATATATCAGTTGATCCTTAAAACAATCTTTAGATGTCCTGAAACTAAATCCTAAAGTGAAACAAGTGGCTGAAATTGGCATTTGGTACATGGTGTGCTGGGAACCTAATTGGCCTTTTGGAGCCCTCTCCTTAACCACTGTGGTGGTCTACCTCCTGAGACTATCTGTTGCTAAGCCTGTTTCCTAATCTTTAAAATCAGGCTGCTGTTTCTCTCCAAGAGCTCAAGGTTTGGATATGGTTTCTAAAGGGTCTGGTGCCCAGGTAAGACTTAATAAATTATTCATACAGAAGTGAGTGTCATTTTGAGTCTGGGCTTTAGCCTGAAATGATCTTGGGTAGTCACCTAGCAGCTTTAACCATGTCACAGCACCACTCAAAGCATGCCTTGGGGCTGGAGAGATGGCTCAGTGGTTAAGCACACTGGCTGTTTTTCCAGAGGCCCTGGGTTCAGTTCCCAGCACCCACATGGCAACACACAACTGTAGCTCCAGTTCTAGGGGATCTGGCATCCTCATACATGCAGGCAAAATACCAATGCACATAAAAAAAAAATTATTTTAAAAAGCATGCCAGATTTCCACAGCTTTGGGTCTCCATTAGTTTCTTGTTTTTTTGTTTTTTTTTTCCTTAATAAATATGTAGATCAATCTGGCCTTGAACTCACAGATATCCACCTGCCTCTTCCTCCACCAGAGTGCTGAGATTAAAGGTGTATATCACCAAGCCCAGCTTTAATTTTTATTAATTGTGTCTTATTTTTGTGGGGGTGGGTAGAGTTGTGCAGATGAGTATAGTGCCCACAGAGTCCAGAAAAGGTGGTAGATGCCCTGGAGCTGGAGTTACAAGCAGTTGTGAGCCACCTGATGTAGGTGCTGGGAACTGAACTTGGGTCCTCTGCAAGAGCAGCAAAGGGCTCTTAATCACTGAGCCATCTCTCCAGTCTCTCCATCTTTGTGAATTAGCTCTCTTAGTTCCACTAATAGATTTTGAGACCTAAAGTCCTACCTAAAGTTTTGTTCTTGGAGGCAAATTCTCACATTTAGTTGTACAAAGGAGGTGGCGAGCACTGGGTGGTGCAGGGAGGACCGACTTCCCTTCACCAGGAGGCAGGCAGTACTGAAGCTGGCGGCCTTTGATTCTTCTTTGCGCCTAGTTGTGGGACAACTGATAAGCACAGGAGTGAACAGAACTTAAATGGCTTCTCTGGACACTAAAGCTCAAGGCTGAGAGCATCACATGCAAACTTCTGGGACCAGGCAGAGGTAGGAACCCTCTAGAACCCAAAGGAGGTAGTGTAATTGGACATTTCCTGTCCTGTCCCGACTGTTCAGTCCCAAATAAACACACAGAGGCTTACACGAATTACAAATGCTCAGCCAATAGCTCAGGCTTATTACTAACTAGCGCTTATATTTTAAGTTAACCCATCTTCCTTATTTACATTTTGCCATGTAGAGACACCTTTATTAGCATGGCGCGTTCATCTCCTCCCTTGGCACCTGCCTGGCAACTCCTGACTCCGCCCTTCTCCTTCCCATCATCCTTAGTTTGGTCACCCACCCATGCTTCCTGCCTGGCCACTGGCCAATCAGCGTTTTATTAACCAATGAGAGCAATACATACTCACAGTACAGAGAAGTATTATTCTACAGCAAGGTAGGATAATCCAGACAGATAATAAGTGTCTGTCCCATTTTCAGTTCCATGCTCATCTGAGTCTGAGTCCCTGGAGACTTTGCTCTAGGTCTCTCAAGAGTTAGCTGGTATCCCAACTCCCTGTGCAGCAGCAGCTGGGAACTGTGGCCTCCCCAGCACCTAGATGATTTTCTGGAAGGGCTCAAATCTCTTCATAGTCGTGGTCATCTATATCTGAGTCAGGCAGGGGATATGACTCAATGATAGAATATTTGCCGAGCGTGCTCGAGGATTTGGGTTTCATGCTCACCACTGAAGAAGAAGAAGAAGAAGAAGAAGAAGAAGAAGAAAAGAAAGTCCGGGTTATTCAGAATCTTGTCTTTAGGCAAGTTCCTCCCCCTCTTCAGTTTCCTCCCATGAACAGGGAAGGCATGGCTAACCATGGCCCAGAAGCCACAATCCATTTTCCTTGACCACTGCAGCCATTTTTTCTGTCCTGATTGTCATAGGAGGACATTGTATCTGGGACTGGTCTCATTTCATTGCTAGGGTGTGGGGGTCTAGGAAAGAGAAAGACCTCTCCACCTGACCCACTCCATACAAGCTTGGATCTCTTTCAAACTAGGACCACGTAGGGTCTCCCAGGCAGAGCTAGCAGAGGTGGGAGAGGGACTTGATGGGCCAAAGGACTCACCTGAATTCTGGGTTTGGGTTTTGGATTTAAGGTCTTTCTTGTGGACAGGAATCTTGCTGTACAGATTTGATTTGTCCTTGGGGAGGTCTTCCAAGGTCTTCTTCGCCTTGAGTTCAGGCTGTGGGTAGGATTCCTGTTCTATAACTTGAGACTGAGCAGGAAAACAAAACAAAAAATCCTAAAGACCAGAAATCAGAAAAGGTACAAGGATCAGCTGTCAAGCCCGTGAGACAGTTTCCCTGACAGTGCCACTTGCTGTCTGCTTTTCTGGGTCAGGCTTCTCAGGGACAGGAGTCTCTCATGAGACTGAAACTCCTTAGGACTCATCTTTTTAACTTTCACTGCCACATGGCTACACGATAATAAATTCAGGCCTCCTGAGATCTCAAAACAGTATGCTTGTTGAGTTCACAAAGCATACTTTGTATAAGTCACTCAGGCACATAGGCAGTGCAGTCAGGGCTGAGTTCAAACCCAGCCCTCCCATCCTCCTAGCTGTATGAGTTCTGGTGACTTGCCTCTGTTATCTCCTCTGTAAAGAGAATGTTGGTGCCTATGCGTGTGTGTGTGTGGGTGTGTGGGTGTGTGTGCGCGCGCGCATGTACACAGAAGAGGGGCACTGTGAGAATAGCCACCAAGTAAACATGCTATAGACAAACAGGAAGTGGCTAACACAAGGGCTTATGGGGGAAGTCCTCTTGGGTTTACCACTAAGAAAGATGCTCAGAGGAGTAGCTTGAGCCTGCCTCCCACTCTCCCATCTTTGATTCCACTTAGCTCATTCAACAGTGTCCACCAGCCTTGGAGACATGGAATTTCTGCTCTCTGCCCCCTTATCCTGCCTAACTCTGTTTAGGCAGAGAGACTACAATACAGTGAGCTGAAAATGACATGTCTCTAAGCTATGGACACAGCAGTAAGATGACAAAGAGAACAGGGCCAGCTTTCCCCAAGCCTGAAGGAGGAATAATGATGGCCACGGGTCTAGTATAGGTCTAGTATGGGTCACCTGAATTCTGTGACCCATACTAGACCCACGTGCCACCCCAGAGCCTTTCTTCGGTGGCTGGAGTTGGGAATACAAAGTGGTGGTGGGAGGTAGCCCAGGAATGCCAGACTGGAATCAGTTCATGAAGGATGCCATGTGGAACCCCTGGAGGTTTCAACACTGTGTCCAGCAGGCAATCAGAGAGATTTGGGATCTAGGCTAGTTAGTTTTAACTGCCAATCTGCTACAACCTAGAATTACCTGGGCAGAGAGTCTAGATGAGAAATGATCTAGATTAGGTTGGTCTATGGGTATGTCTATGGGGGATTGTCTTGACTGCCAACTAGTGTTGGACAACCATTCCCTATGCCGGACTCTGAACTGTATAGAAGGAAAGAAAGTCGGCAAGAAGGCTAGCAGGCACAGGCATGCATGCATTAGATGCTTTCTGCTCTTGACTGGACATGGCATGGCCAGCTGTATCAAGCCCATCTCTGTGACTTCCCTGCAGTGACAGGCTGGAACCTGGAATTGTGAACTAAAATAAACCTTCCTCCTCTAAGTTGCTTGTGGTTCAGGGCATTTTATCACCGCCACAGAAAACAAACTGGACAGGAGGCCATCCTAAGAGCCACTGGAAGAACAGATGATGCTCCACTTGGGAGTGGCAGCCAGGTGACAGGAAAAGCACCAGGAACTTAGAGTCAGGATGTCCACACTCAAGTCCAGGCCTTCCATTTAGTAATTCCGACTTCGGGGGCATGCCAGAGTCTCAATCCTCATTTTCTCAATCATAAAATACTGATAATTGTACCAACTTCAGGATCATGAGGCCTGAGTGGGAACAACTGGTACAAAGAACAGAACTTAATGAGCTGCAAGTTCAACACAATTAGAAGAGAGAATCACGGCAGGCAAAAAGCAAGGAAAGGGCCCAGGTGACCCCCTCCCTGCCCGTGGGATCATGTGCATACCTTCACACCGCCCTCCCTGCCCGTGAGGTCCCATCCCATGCATACCTTCACACTGTCCTCTTTGCAGCTCTGTATGATCTGCTTCTGCACACTGACACCCTTGCTCTTTGGGGGCCTGGGTGGGGGTGCTTGGCTCTCCGAGGCTGGCAGCTTCCGGAGACTGTAGTAGAAGGCTTCTGACAGTTCCTCTACCCTAGTGACAGAGAGTGGCCCAGCCACCTGACCTGGCTGCCCCTCAACCTCTGCTACAGTCAGGTCCATCCACCGGGGAGGGATTTCAAAGCACATTTCTGGTTGGGAGTCCAGGCCTACCACCAAAAAGGGTTCTGTGAGCTTCTCCTCCAGCCGCAGGCCCGGGAAGGAGACCAGAGGGTCAGTGGGGTGCCGGGCATCCTTGGCCACCACCTTGACCTCACAGGGCAGGGAGAACTGGGCAGTGAGATCTGTTAGGCTATAGCGCCGGCCATCAGTCACCTCCTCCACAAAGCTACCAGAGAGGTAGAGGGGTAGCAGAATCTGTTCTTTGCTCTCCACTTCCTCCTCTTCCTCCTCCAACTCCTCCTCTTCCTTCCCAGCCTGCTCAATCAGACGCTGACATATCAAGACATCTATGTCCTGGCCCTGGCTCCCGCAGACCTGGCCTTGCCTCAGCACCTCCAGCCGATCACCCACAGCCAGGAAAGAAAATCCAGGATTCTCCTCTTCATTCCCATCACAGTCTTTTGTGGCCACCACCCGGAGGGGTCGGCCTGGCTGGAGAGCACCCAAAAGGTCATAGGCCGTGGGGAACTCCCTTGGCCTCCGCCTCAGCTTGCCCTGGTAGGCCCCAGACAGAAAAAAGTATCTGGGAACTCTTCGGCTCTTGCTTGAGGCCACAACCCGCCAGGGTGGTGAGGCTGGCCCGAAGATGCAGAGCCTTTGGCCTTTGCGTAGGGAGGCCACCCACGGGTTGAGGAAGATGGGTGGGCCCTCAGGAACCTCCAGGATCTCCGTGGACATTGGGAAGGGGCCTCCCTGGGCCAGGACCTCACTCAGCAGCAGCGGTTTGATGAAGTGGATATGTTGGGAGGAGGCGGTGACATCTTCTACCTCCACCTCCAGGGTGGATGGGATCTTGACTATGGTGCGGCGCACTGTGGGGAGAGGGGCAGTTCAGGGGTGCGGTGTAACACCCAGTGGTACCCCCCCATCCCAGCTCCGACTCCTGTTTCATCTTTTCTTTCCCGCAATCATTTTCCTACTATACAAGGTTTTTTTAGCCCAATCTCTTTTCAACATCTTTTTATTTCTTAATTTTAATTTTTTAATTTAAAATTTCATTTTTTTTTTTTTTTTTTTTTTTTTTACTTTTAACTGTGTGTAGGTGTGTGCATGTGAGTGCAGGATCCTGCAGGGGCTGTAGTTACAGGAGGTTGGGAACTGCCTGACAGGGTAACTCCAGTTCCAGGTGGATCTGATGCACTTTTCTGACCTCCACAGGCACCAGGCATGCAAATGCTGCTCAGACATGCATGCAGCCGAAACTCTCATACACATAAATAATTAAAAAAAAAAACCTCCTTATTAAAATAAAAATAAAGCACATGAGCCAGGTGTGGCGCTGCACCATTACAGTCCCAGAGTTTGGGAGATGGAAACAGGATGGCCAGGGGTTCAAGACTAGCCAGGCTGCATGATATGCTGTCTCAAAAGAAAATGCCAACTAAGGAGGTCATGACATTGCACAAGGATAACACAAGGGGTGTGCTGTGTTTGGAGGGTCAGGGAAGTCAGTGTGTGATGCTTAAATAGAAACTGTGAGGATGAAAAGGGTGACCAGTCAGGGCTGCTGTGAATCCTACAGAGACAACGCACAAGCAAATGTCCTGTGGAGGGAAACAGCACACCTGGACTCCCCAAGTTTGCCTTTTCAAGAGGGAGCTCAGAGGGCATTTCCATCTCCTTTTCTTCTCCATACACAAAATCAAATCTACTTTACCATGCTATGGGTATGCATCTCTAAAAAGGGATAACCACATTTTTTAAAAGATTTATTTACAGCCGGGCGGTGGTGGCGCATGCCTTTAATCCCAGCACTCGGGAGGCAGAGCCAGGCGGATCTCTGTGAGTTCGAGGCCAGCCTGGGCTAACAAGTGAGTCCCAGGAAAGGCGCAAAGCTACACAGAGAAACCCTGTCTCGAAAAACCAAAAAAAAAAAAAAAAAAAAAAAAAAAAGATTTATTTACATGTGTATGCATGTTCTATGTACATGTATGACTTTGTGCCAAAGAGGGCATCAGATCCCACTATAGATGGTTGTGAACCACCATGTGGTTGCTGGGAAATGAACTCAGGACCTCAGGAAGAGCAGCCAGTGCTCTTAACCACTGAGCCAACTCTCCAGCCCAGGGATAACTAATTTGAAAAGCTTGGGTTTTTTTTTTTTTTTGACCAGGTGTGGTCACATTCATATACTCAAGCACTTGAGAGGTAGAGGCAGGAGGATTAGAGACTAGCCTGGGCTACATGAGACTGTCTCAAAAAAAAATGCGTTTAAAAAATTTCTTTTTGTTTCATTTATTTTTGGCAGTGCTAGAGATGAAGTGCTAGGAAATACCCCACTAGTGACCAGACCCCAAACGCCTCTGTGTGTGTTTGCTTGCTTAGTTTTGTTTTCCGAGACAGCATTTCTCTGGGTAGCCCTGGCTGTCCTGGAACTTGTTCTGTAGACCAGGCTGGCCTCAAACTCAGAGATCCTTCTGCCTCTGTCTCCTGAGTGCTGGGATTAAAGGCGTGTGCCACTGCCTGGCCCCTTTCCCCTTTATTGATTTTACTATTTTAAAAAACTTTTTGTTTTTTATTCATTTATTTGTGTGTGTGTGTCTATCTGTCTGTCCAGCTGTATACGCATGTGTTCATGCCATGGTATGAATGTGGAGGTCCAAGGACAATGTGCAGAAGTCAGTTCTCTCCTTCCACATGTGAGCCCCAGGGATGGAACTCGCACTTGATGGTGGCAGCACCTTTACTTTCTGTCTGAGCCGTCTCACTCTCCTACTCCTGCTTTAAAAACACATGTATATATAATTTTATTATTGGTGTGTGTGTGTGTGTGTGTGTGTGTGTGTGTGTGTGTGTGTGTGTGTGTGTAAAAACGCCAAAGTGAACATGGAGGTCAGAGGACAATTTTCACAGCAAATGCTTTTATGCACTGAGCTGCCTTGCTGTGCCCTCTTTTAATTAACAAATTGTTTTGTTTTTCAGTTTTGAGACAGCATCTGTGTAGCCCTGGCTAATGTGGAACCTAACCTTGGCCAACTCTGTAAAGCATGTGGGACTTTGAATGTGTTTATCCTATTTTCCTATCTCTTTTTATACCACATTTCCCATCACATTGACATCTGTATCCTGTTATGTGGCCGACACTGGGTAAGCAAGCTGGAGCCCCCAGACCATGCACAGGGTATCTTTGAACTGTGCAACTCCCAGCCACTCCTCTCCTGCCAAGGTAACTCACTGTGCATCACGGCTTGGAGCATATACTGCGGCTTCAGGATCATGGTGCGCCAGGGTAGGCTGGGGCAGGTGAGCATAAGGCCTGTCATGGCTGGGTCCTGCAGGATTTGGAGCAGGGTTTGTGGGGGACCAGGCTTGCATCTCCAGAAGGGTCCATTCTGGGAAAGGGGCAGATGGAGGATGACCTCCTGGGTCTTTGAGACCTGGACACAGCGTGCATAGCGGGTCCCATGATGCATCTCCACAGCCTCAAGCCTGAGAGGCTGGTCCACAGGCACCACCCTGGCCTCTGTGACAATTCTTTGAGTTGACTTGAAGTAAATGGGCCACTGTGTGGCGTTCTGAGGCATGGCAGAGATGAGCTCGTCCAGGGTTCTGTAGCTTTGCAGGCTGGTGAGTGTGCTGAAGAGGCCTGTGGGAGTCAGCAGAGGGAGGAAGAAGGGGAAGGGCAGGCCTTTGCTGGGGCAAGCTCTGCAGACCACCAGCCAGAGTCCCTGCTAGGGCCTGCATCTGGACATCTAGACCAAAGGTCTGTGGTGGCGGCTGGGTGACAGTGTATGAACGGATAGTGAAGAACAGGAACGGTGACACAGGGATGTCGCCAGAGACACAGAGTAAGGGCACACACACACACACACACACACACACACACACACACACACACACACCTCCCGTGCTTTCCCACTTTGCTGACCTCTGTCTCCAACTCGGCTAACCCATCACATTTTCCTCCAGACACCTCCCCTACAGCTCCAAGCCCCACATCCCAAGTCTGCCTCTCTATTCTGAGACAGCGCCATTGTCTCTTCCTCCTAAATTAGAGCCCCAGGAGCTCCTGGCCCAGGTGCCCTTGACACCCACCCCTCAGCTGGTCTGCCAGGACAACCCAACTGCTCTCCTACCACATCTGTGGTCCCTAGACGTTCCACCACCAGGCTGGTCCATCACCCAACTTCTGGAAACAGTGGTTTTCTGTCCCAAACCCACAACCCAAATCTAATCAAGGAAATATCACAAAGCCTAGACTTAAGGACATCTTACAGAAATATTGGTCCGGAACTAGATATAGTACAGTGATAGAGTGCTCACTTAGCATGTGAGAGGCCCTGAGCTAGACCTCCAGTGCGAAAGAAATTTATTAATCTGGATTCTTAAAAAATGTCCATATGGCCTAGTGTGGTGGCGCACGCCTTAAATCCCAGTACTCAGGAGGCAGAGGCAGCCAGATCTCTTTGGACTTCAAGGCCAGCCTGAAATCTGTGAGACCCTGTTTCAAAAACAAGCAAGTCAGCCAAGCAAGCAGAAAAAGTAACCCCCAAGGGGTTCATTACTACAGAACAGGAGGTGTGTTGTCTGTGCTGGGGGCAGCCTGGGTGGAAAACATGATGCACTGGCCTCAGCTTCCTCCTCTATTATGAGGCCCTGGACTTGGTGTTAGATTTGAAGAAGTAGTGTGTGTATATGGAGAGGGGAGGAGAGGTTGGCACAGAGCAGATGCATCCTGAACACACAGACACGTACATCCGCTCACACGTTTGTATGCTTATGCTACAGCATTGTGTGGAGGTCGGATGTATGTATGCGCGTGCACGCCACAGCACGTGTGGAGGTCAGATGTATGTATGCGTGTGCACGCCACAGCACATGTGTGGAGGTCAGATGTATGTATGCGCGTGCACGCCACAGCACATGTGTGGAGGTCAGATGTATGTATGCGTGTGCACGCCACAGCACATGTGTGGAGGTCGGATGTATGTATGCGCGTGCACGCCACAGCACATGTGTGGAGGTCGGATGTATGTATGTATGTGCGTGCACGCCACAGCACATGTGTGGAGGTCAGATGAGGACTACTCGTAGGAGTCACTCTCTCCTTCTACCACGTAGGTTCCAGGAATTGAACTCGAATCATCAGGCTTGGCAGCAAGCATCTGCTGCTGATCGTCTCCCAGGCATGAGACCTACTTCTGCTTTTCCTGCTCCTACCGCCTAAATTCGGGGATTACAGGCATGCGCCACTACGCCACAGCTGGTTTATGCGGTGCTGGGATAGGACGCAGGACTTTGTGTACACAGGGAAGCATCCTGCCAACTGAGCCTCATCTTCAGATCCTGACCTTTTTTGAGACGGTGTCTCATGCATCCTTGACCGACTAGATATGGAGCTAAGGTTGGCCTTGAAGTCCTGATCTCTAGCCTCTACCTCCCCATGCTAGAATCCAGGCATGTGCCACCGCACCTCTTTCCCTTGGGATTTCTTAGGCACGGAATGGGCACATGCCACACTCCCTTATCTGGGGACCACCTCTTGCTCCTGGATCTGAAGACCCTAGAGGACAGGCCACCCCACCCTGAGCTGGTGCCTGCTTCATGGACCCTGGCCGTCTCTCACTGCCACTCCAGAAGTTCATCCTGAGTCCACACACCCAGCTCCCCATAGGGTCTGGCACACGTGGGCATCAGTAGATGTTTGATGAATGAATGTGTGAGCAAACAGAGACCAAAACCTCAAGACCTGGAGGCAGATGCGATTAGAAGAGGTTAGGGGCATGCCAGGCTCAGGGCAGCCTCAAGAATGCACTCTAAGTGTGTCCTTGGCCTTTTGGCTACATAACAGTAGATATGTCATCTTTATATGCAAAACCAGAGGGACGGGAGTGATGCGGGCAGTGGCAGCCCCACCCACGAGTGGCTGAAGATATGCCTGCGGGATGCCAGGGCAGGTGGGAGGCAGAGGTGCACACCTTACCTGAGAAGTTGGGGTTGAGCTCCAAGGTCTGACCCGTCTCTGGGTTTTCACAGACCACCTTCTCGAGGTGAACATGGGTGACCTTGATCAGGTCCCCTGTGGAGAGGCAACACTCATTCCCAAAAAGCTCATAGATGGAACCTGTGGAAACACAGACTCAGTTTCTGTTTTTGGCAAAGGCCGGGCCCTGGGGGCCTGTGCCCTGTTCCTTACAAACTCTGCTGCCTTGAGTGTCTTTCTCTCTTTCAAAATGCTGAGGACTGAACCCGGGGTTCCAAGCGTACACATAAGTACTCTGTCCCAAGCCTCAGCCTCAGCTTTCCTCCTTGTCTTTTCCTGCTAAAGGGGAGCTGGCTCAGTCGGCCATCCTCAGACCATGGGAGGCAGCCCTGGTGGGGCCCATTCTTGCCTTTCTCCCAGTTTGTGCCTCCTAGAGTGACTGTACCGGTCCATTTTCCACATCACTGCAGCCTCTGAGGGTGTGTTCCACCCATGAAGCAGTAAATAGCCCAGTGGACCCCAACTCCCCTTTACAGGCTTGGAATACGTAGGCTCCATGTAGATACAGAGGGTCAGCTGGGTACCTAGTTCTTCTAATACTCTGCTTTCTACTTCAGATGAGAGGGTTAGTACGCTTGCTTGCTTTATTTATTTATTTATTTATTTATTTATTTATTTATTTATTTGTCTGTCTATCTATCTATCTATCTATCTATCTATCTATCTATCTATCTATCTATCTATCTATCTATATATCTATCATTGAAACAGGCTCTCCTGTAGTTCAGTTTGGCCTGGAACTCTCTATATCGAGGATGACCTTGAACTTCTGATCCTCCTGCCTCTATCTCCCGAGTGCTAGAATGACAGACAGGAAGTGTGCCTCCATGCCAAGTTCTCTGCAGTACTGGGAATCAAATCCAGGGTCTCACGCATGATAGGTGAGCACACTACCAATTGACCCACATCCCCAGACGGATGAGTTGCTTTTAAATTTCTGTTGTTGTTTAATCATGTTTATCTTGAGTACATTCCACAGTATGGGTGTAGAAGTCAGGACAACTCTTGGGAGCCAGTTCTCTCTGTGTGAGACCCACAGATTGAATTTAGGTTGGCAGGGTTGGCAGCGACCACCCCCACCACCCTGTCCACCAGCCAGCTCACCAGCCCCGTGAGCTCCTCTTAGAGGAAATAGAGGAGGTTGAGGTTCTCAGCCCCACCACCAAGTTCTGCAGCTCACTTGCCCTGACACAAAGTACTAAAAGCCATGGAGAACATTGGAAGACACACAGTAAAGATCTCACGGCGCAGTGTGCGCGGGGTGCGCGGGGTCCCCATCCAGCGGGCAGAGGATGGGAAACTGCAGGTGACAGTGCCTTGAGGCCACCTGAGAGCCCCTCCCCCAGGACAGCCCTAGTAGGGCTGCGCACATGGCCATGAGAAACTGGTGTAAACCTCACTCTAAGCCCTCCGAAAAGTGCACACAGTTGCTACAACATCAGGGTGTGGACCTTCCGGCAAAGGAGATTATGTATTCCTGGGCCTGGGTTAGCCACAGAGTTATATATACCTGGCCCTGCATTGCTAACTGCCGCTGATGCTTCACTGCCCTGAAGATGCATGACTGCCCTTTGGGGAACAGGGGCCCACAATTTCCCTTTCTAAATAATTAGTGACAGCAGTTTCTCTTTCCTATAAATGACAGCTCAGAGAAGTGCTGTCAGCGCCTCCAAATGACCAGTACAAAGGAAGACCAGGAACTCAGGGTCATCCTTGGCTAAATAGGGAGTTCTAGGCCAGCCTGGGCTACATGAAACCCTGTCTCAAAAATACCAAAAAGGGGTCAGCAAGGTAAAGATTCTTTCATCCCCCAAGTCCCACACGGTGGAAGAAAATTGATTCCCAAATGTTGTCCTCTGACCTCCACATGCACACTGTGGTACACGCATACTCCCCCGACAAATAAATGTGAACAAATGTTCATTAGGCCAGCTGTGGTGAAACACATCTGTAACCACACCTTCAGGAAACTTAGGCAGGAGGAAGAACTCTGCGTTACGCAGGAAGAACTTGTCTTAAACCAAAAAAAGGATGAAGGATGCTAGCTCAGTACTAGAGTGCTGGTCTAGGATTTACGAAGCCCCGGGGTTCCATCTCCAGCATGGCAGGAATGTGGAGGTGGGAGGGGGAGGGGGAGAGGGTAGTGGGAGGCTGAACGGGTGTGTGTGTGTGTGTGTGTGTGTGTGTGTCAAGTATTTACCTCCCAAACTGGAATTCCTAACCACATGGCCAGCTGCTCCACCACCCTCTGCCCAACCCTGCCCCATGCTCATCTACCTTCCATGTAACCTTTGTGCGCACCCACACCCCAACTTCTGCCACTTCCCACCACCCCAGGTCAGACCAAATGAGGAAACTCAAGTATTGTGACAGAGGTGAGCAAGGGATGCTGGGAGGATGTTCTGGGCTGAAGACAGACAGACAGACCTCAGACGACTGCTTCAGGGAGCCGTCAGATTCCAGTAGACCCGAGACACCCCCTGGGAAGTGGAGACCCTCCTCAGTCTAGCGTCCACTTGGCCATCGGGACACTTTGCCGGCAGCTGCGATGGCAGAGCCAGGCTCCCTCCCTCTGGAGAGCAGGATGAAGCAGGCACCCACCGCAGACAGGCTTCTTCTCTGAGGAAGGAGCCTGCATCCCAGCATCTCCCTCCACTCTCTCCTCTGCCTCCCTCTTTTCAGTGAGGGCTGTGGTTCCTCCCTCCACAGAGCAGCCAAGTGGGTCTCTCATCCACTACATCCCCTTCTCCTCCTCCCCCTACCCAAGTGGTCAGTCCCCGGACACTTGCTGTTTTGAGTCATAACTGGTGACTGTGTCCCTGATATACCCATCTCTTCTCTGCTATGAACCAGAAAAGCTGTGGGCAAGAAGCAGGTGTGCAAGGCAAAGAGCGGGAAGGCTTCCTGCAGGAAGGACCATTCAGGCTGAGAAATGAAGAAATGATCTGACCACGTAGCAAGAGGGCCAGGGAGACAGAAGGCAAGAAGCATAGAGCCCAGTCGGAGGGATGATCTGATGCTTAAATAATGAACTGGGTGGCACACGCCTTTAATCCCAGCACTCAGGAGGCAGAGCCAGGCGGATCTCTGTGAGTTTGAGGCCAGCCTGGGCTACAGAGCGAGATTCAGGAGAGGCGCAAAGCTACACAGAGAAACCCTGTCTCGAAAAGCCAAATAATAATAATAATAATAATAATAATAATAATAATAATAATAATAATAATAAACTGGGGTGTATCTCAGTGGTTGGAGCTCAGGGCCCTGGGTTGCATCCCTCCAGAAAGGGAGAGCTGAGAAAAGGGGGGCAGGAGGGAGGAGAGAGACAGAAAAAGGAGCAACAGCAAGCCAGGCATGGGAATTTCAGGCAGAGGCAAAAGGATCACTGCAAGTCTGAGGCCAGCCTGGGCTACAAAACAAGATCCCCTCTCACGTAAGGGAAAAAAAAAAAAGGCAACAATAACTGTAGCAAGCACCCTAATGCCCGCCTAACACAGAGGACCAGTGATCTCCGTTTACTTATTTATCCACTTACTGTTACAATCGTTCTTGTTACTTGAGACAGGACTTCCTAGGTTGTTCAGGTTGTCCTTGCCTCGCTGCCACCCGGTGCTACCTCACTGACTTCTCATCACCCACGGGACGAAAGCCGAGGTGCGGGGAGGTGGGTTTGGTGCGAACTCATAAAGCTCGGGCAAGAGGCAGCGTCCGAATTCAAACCCCAACGCCCTCAGAGTCTCACTCTGTACTAGACTGACTAGCCTCGAACTTGTGCCAATCCTCCTGCCTGGGCACCTCAGTGTTGGGATTACAGGCATGATCCGCCATGCCTGGCTGCTTCCCCCAGGGCCCGCTTACCCTCGAAGTAGACTCCGGAGCAGACCCGCAGCACGCGCGGAAGGGAGGCGGGGTCCAGGAGGCTCACGAAGTCCTGCAGCGGCACGGGCTCCATGGTCCTAGGCGAGCGCTCAGACGAGTCTGCAGCTGGCAGTGGAGAGCCCGGGGCCACGCCCACCCGAGAGGCCACGCCCCGTGACCACGCCCCTCGAGCCTTGTTGGTAGAAGCCCAGTTGGTTCGCTAACACTCCCCAACTCTTGGGTGAGGACTTTATCCCCTTGACCTGTCTCCTCATCTCTAAAATTGAATCCTTTCTTAGTTAAAGTTTCTACTGTTGTGATAAAACGCCATGACCAAATGCAACTTGGGAGGAAAGGGTTGATTTCACCTACAGCTCTGGGATCACAATCCATCACAAGGGAAGTGAGAGCAGGAACTCAAGACCTGAACCTGGAGGCTGGCACTGATACAAACCATAAAGGAACGCAGATTACTGGCTTGCTCCTAAAGGCTCGCTCAGCTTTTTTTTTTTCTCTCTTTCTTTTTTTTTTTTTTAATTTGAGACAGGCTTTTGCTGTGTGGTTTGGTGCCTGTCTTGGATCTCACTCTGTAGACCAGGCTGGCCTCGAACTCACAGACATACGCCTGCCTCTGCCCCCCCCACCCCCAGTGCTGGGATTAAAGGCGTGCGCCACCACCGACTTAGCTTGCTTTCTTACAGAGCTCAGGACCACCTGCCCAGTGCCCCATGGGGGGTCCGCACTTACCCCACCCCATGGCCTGGCCCCATCCACGTCAACCATAAGTCAAAATTCTGCACGGCAAACTTGTCTACGGTCAATCCGATGGAGGCTTTTCCTCAACGGAGGTTTCTAGGTAACTCTAGCGTGGGTCAAGTGACAAAAACCACCCAGGACAATTCCTACACCTTCCTTGACTTTGGCCCCATGGTGCAGATCTAAGTTCAAGACTTGATAATTTGATACCCAGAAGATTGACTCTGTGTGTGTATGTGTGTGTGTGTGTGTGCGTGTGTGTGTGTAGTGTGTGGGAGATGTAGGTGTGTGGTGTAGTGTGTGTGTATGTATGTAGTGTGTGGGGTACGTGTGTGTGGTGTGGGTATAGGTGTGTGTGATGTGGTGTGTGTGTATGTATGTGGTATGGTGTGGTGTGTGTGTGGTATGTGCATATGTGTGGTGTGTGCATGTGTGTGTGTGATGTGTTCTGGTGTGTGTGTGTGGTGTGTGTTTGTGCAATGTGTGTCTGGTGTGGTGTGAGTGTGTGGGGTGTGTGTATGGGGTGTGGTATGTGGGTGTGAGTATGGTGTGGTATGTGGGTGTGTGTGGGGTGTGTGTGTGGTAGGGTGTATACATGTGTATGTGTGTGGTATGTGTATACGTGTGTGGTATATGTGTGGTGTGGTGTGTGTATGGTGTGTGTGTGTGTGTGTGTGTGTGTGTGTGTGTGTGTGTGTGTGATAGTGTCTCCTGTAGCACAAATTGTACTCAAACTTACTATGTAGCTGAGGATGACCTTGAACTTCTGATCTTCCTGCCTCCACATCCATGTGTGGCCACCACACTCACTTTATTAGGTACTGAGGATGGAATCCCAGGCTTCATGCATTTGAGGCAAGTGATCTACCGAGTGCGCTGCATCCTCTGCCCTGTTTTGGTTTTCAGGCAGGATTTCATGTAGTCCAGACTGACCTGGTGCTCACCGAGGAGCTAAGGATGGCTCCTTGAGCACCTGACCCTCTTGCTGCCTCCTCCCAGCTTCTGGGGTAACTGGCATGTAACACTACTTCAGGCCAGGGAGATGGTGAATGGATAAAAACTGTTCCACTCCCCAGTTGTGATGTGCCCAGATTGCCCCCCCCCCAGAACTCCAAGTCCAGACAGGTGCCACAGCCACCTTGTGTAGTTTGGGGTCCCCTAGGAGATACACACCCTCTGGGTCTGAGAAGCATATATTGCCCTGCCCACCCCAGATTCACGTGGACCTCTGCCTGGACTCCTCTAGTGATACAGAGCTGACTACCTCTCTATGACACCCACAGCCTCTGAGCAAGGCAGGTAAAAACGCCTCCTCAGGTGCCACAGGCTGTGACCCCAGCCCTTGGGAGGATCAGGACTTCAGGTCATCCCTGGGTTACAAAGCTCAGAGTCAGCACAGACCACGTGAGACCCTATGTCAAAAACAAAACAGGACAGACTTTCTCCTAACACCCTCCTGTTTTAGGAAATAAGTTGAGACGGGAACTGACTTCCTTGTGGTTGAAAAATGTGAAAAAGGAGAAACAAGTGCTCGCAGCTTCCGGCAACTGTGGTGGAGAGAGGCTCGCTACTGTCTCTTAACTGTTTTCTGGAGTTTTCCATAATGGCTTGAATATTTTCATATTAACAGATTCTGTGAACAGTCACTCAATGAGGATCATGGGACACAGAGGTGTGGGGGGTGTTCAGAAACAAACTCCATCTTCACAGCATTAGTGCAGGATGGAGGATGTAAGGGTCCAGGAGGAGAGGAGAGGACAGGAAAAGAGGAAGGGAGGGAGGAGAGGAGGGAGGAGGAGAGGAGGGGAGAAGAAGAGAGAAGAGGAGAAGAGGGAGGGGAGAAGGAGAGGGAGGAGGGGAGGAGAGGAAGGAGGAGAGGAGGGAAGGAGGGAGGAGAGGAGACGGAGAGGAAGGAAAGACAGAAAGCGGGGAGGAAGGATGCTCCTGCAGACTCAGGGATGCTGATGGACATGAAACTGGGAACCTCAGGACTCCCGGAGGCTTATCCTGCCTCTCCTGATTTTAGATTCTTTTATTTTTTATTTCTTGTTTTCATCATTTTGTATTTTATTTTATTATTTTTGAGATGGATTTTGTAGCTCAAGCTGGTCTGAAACTCTTGATTCTCTGGCCCTAGTCTTCCAAGTGCTAGGATTACAGTCATGTGACTACCACATTCAGCTTCCAGCTTTACTTAAAAAACAAATTCAGGGACTAGAGAGCTGCCCCAGAGGTCCAGAGGACCCAGGTTCAATTCCCAGCACCCACATGGCAGTTCACAACTGTCTGTAACTCCAGTCCCAGGGAATCAGACATACATGCACTAACGCACATGAAATAAAAATAAATTCTTTTCAGTGAATACCACAAATGTAATTAATATCATGAGTGTAGTTAAAAGATAAATTAATAATAACTTCTTTTTAGATTTACTTATTTTGTTTCATGTGTCTCACCAGCACGTGAGCCTTGTGCCCTGTGCATGTCTGGTGCCCACAGAGGTCAGAAGAGGGTGTCAGAGCCCCTGGAACTGGAGTTCTAGGCAATTGTGAGCCACCATAGAGACGCTAAGAACCCAGCGTGGGTCCTCTGCAAGAACAGCCAGTGCTCTTAACCTCTGAGCCACCCCTCCAGCCCTCCCTCTCACTGTTTATGCAAAGCAGAAGCCGTCTTTGGTAGTAATCACCACAGAAAAGGGGGAAATTAAGAAGTGAGAGAAGCCGGGCGGTGGCGGCGCACGCCTTTAATCCCAGCACTCGGGAGGCAGAGCCAGGCGGATCTCCGTGAGTTCGAGGCCAGCCTGGTCTCCAAAGTGAGTTCCAGGAAAGGCGCAAAGCTATGCAGAGAAACCCTGTCTCGAAAAAAAAAAAAAAAGAAGTGAGAGAAACTCCAAAGAACGAGAAATTTTCAAAGTTAAAGAATTATTCTTAGTGGGCTGGAGAGATGGCTCAAGGGGTTAAGAGCACTGACTGTTCTTCCAGAGGACCGGGGTTCAATTCCTAGCACCCACAGTTCACAACTGTCTGTAACTCCAGTTCTAGGGGATCTAGCACCCTTTCACATACATGCAGGCAAAACAGCAATGCACATAAAATAAAAATAAGTAAAGTTTAAAAGGCACTGACATGTCTTAACCATTCTACTTAAAAAAAAAATATTCTTAGGGCTGGAGGGATGATCCAGTGGAACACTGGCTGCTCTTCAGAGGGCTTGATTGCAGCACCCAAGTCGGTCAGCTCGTGACTCTCTGTAACTCCAGCTCCAGAAGACACTCTTCTGGCCTCTGGGCACACACGCACACGCACACACACACACGTACGTACACAACACCACTTAAATCTTAAATTTTTAAAAAGCCAGGCATGGTGGTCCACACCTTTAATCTTTAATTCCAGCACTTGGGAACAGAGGAAGGCAGAGATCTCTGTGAGTTCAAGGCCACCCTGGTCTTCATGGAGTTCCAAGACAGCCAAGGCTACATAATGAGACCCTGTCTCAAAACAAACAAAACTTTAAAAATACTTCTTGCCGGGCAGTGGTGGTGCACACATTTACTCTCAGCACTCGGGAGACATAGGCAGGTGGATCTCTGTGAGTTCCAGGCCAGCCTGGGCTACTGAGTGAGTCCCAGGACATCCAGGGCTACACAAAGAAACCCTGCCTCAACAAAACAAAACAAAAATAATAAATAACTAAATAATACTTCTTGTGGCTGGGGCTGTAGCTCAGTTAGTGGAATTCTTTCCTTCCCAGCTTGCAGGAAGCCCTGGGTTCGACCCCCAGCACGGTAGACAGCAAGCAGGGAGGCAGGAGATAAGGATTCCAGTGTCCTTCTCAGCCTCACAGTGAGTTCAAGGTGCAGAAAGCCTACAAAGTGAATTCAAGGCCAGCCTGGGCTACACAGTGAGACACTGTCTCTCACTTTTCTTTCTTTCTTTTCTTTTTTTCCTTTCTTCTTTTTTTCTTTATTGTTTTGTTTTGGTTTTTTTGAGATAGGGTTTCTCTGTGTAGCTTTGGAGCCTGTCCTGGAACTCACTTTGTAGACCAGGCTGGCCTCAAACTCAGAAATCTGCCTCCTGAGTGCTGGGGTTAAAGTCATGTGCCACCACTGTCAGGCTGAGACACTGTCTCCTAAAAGAAACCCCAACAAGTTCTTTTTGAGGTTCTTGGAATTAAACCCAGAGCCTCATGTGTGGCAAGCAAAGGTGGCATGTGGTTCAGGGGTGGAATGCTCGCTTAGCACGAATGAGATCTTGGGTCTGCCCTCCAGTACTCCAAAAAGAAACAACAAAAACCACGGGTAACGCACCAGCCAGTCTACTTGCTTTTAGTTGATTTTTAAAAACCACCGTGTTTGGGGACTGGAGAGATGGCTCAGCAGCTAAGTGTGTATACTGTTCTTGGACAGAGGACCTGATT